GATGTACTTCGTTCCAGATTTAGGCAAACCAAGAACTTCACATGCTGCACGAAGAATGCCGATGCTCGAATTCGCATTGATCTTCACACCCTCAACCTCGACTTCACCCTCAGACAAATCGGGCTGTACCTCCAGCACATCACGCGGAATGCCTGGCTCTCTATTCTGAGGGGCTGACCCAAGCTGTTCTGGATCTGCGGGCACTGCATCTGGGCCAACACCAAGCTGAGGCTCTGTCGATGCACCTTTCGCCTGATTTGCCAAGTTGAGCTCAGATCCTGATCCAGCTTGAACAACCTGCGGCTGATCTTCAACTGCCACGGGCTGATATTCAAATCCCATATCTTCCGGCGCAAGCCAATCATTGTGCAGAAAAGTGATGGACTGCTGGAATTCGGTGAGTCCTTCATGTGCAAGTGGCTCACGCAGAACATCCCTGTTTTCCATCAACTCGCAATACTCAACCAAATGCCATTGATTGTCAGCTAAGACAACAGTGGTGCGTCTTCTGGGAACATCCATGACAGGGCATCCATCGGGCTCCACAAAGAAACGAGGATTCTCGACCTTCAACGCCCAAAGTCCTGCCGAAATTTCAACCCAAGAATTCCCAAGGTACTGCAAAGGTTCTGAGATCACCACCGTCCTCACATATTCGTCTCGTGCAACTTCTTCACTCACAGCTGAGGCATCACGCGACGGGATATGCCGAATGAAGCCACGAATACACAAGCTGTTGCGCCGAAAATGAACTGGCGCTCTCATATGCCCGCAAGAAAGATACATCTGCTCATCATCTCCATGCGCCAGAGTAAATCCAGCTCGAAGGAGTTTGCCGAGGGGCAAAATGGGGTTTGAAACATCAGTGACAATGAAATCATCAACCAGTTTCATGTTTCCTACTTGCACTTGTGCTCGCTTGTGCTGCTGAACCTGAAGCTGTCCACCTTGCGCATCGTAATACACACAATGATGACTAGGCTGAACATCATTTCCAACACCTTGAAAGTTCTTTGGTAATGCCGCAGTGTCTGAGCCGCTATCCAAGATGATGTCAACCATGTCTGTTGAATGAAAATCCTCTGAAATTGCACGCACGTGAAAATACTCCAGTCCAACCGGATTGTCAAACTGATTTCCACAAACATGCCAATGTTCATCATGGTCAGTTGCAGTCATGTCGAAAACGGGGCAGGCAATTTGCTCCTCTGGTTCTGCCATGCGAATCATGAAAACATTTCCACCAAGGTCAAAACAGTCTTCGATGTCTGACTCTGGGGCCATATCAAATATTGTAAGATCCACCATGTTTGAATCATCCCCCACGTCATGGAAACTGCAATTGCTATGAGCTGCCAACCTGCGAACAGACGCTGCTGACTTATAGGTTGAAGACTGAGCTGAAGGTGCTGTCTGCGGTTGGAACACCTGCGACGCCGAAGGCCCAGCGGTTGAAGCAATGGACCCGGTCTCCAGTACCACGTTCTTGGTCAGCTTTATATGCTCTGCAGTCCCTTTTCCAATGACCAAGCTTGTTGCAGTACAAACACCTGTTGGGGTCGTTCTTGTTTCCTTTTCCTTTGCCAGATTGATGTTGTTGGTCACACTTCTTTCCTTTGTCTTTGCCTTTGCTGCTCTGCCAGTACGATTTGCCTTTGCCTTTGTCATGCTTTCCTTTTCCTCCTTTGTCATACTTTCCTTTGCCGCCTTTGCCATACTTCCCTTTACCTCCTTCACCCTTGAGTCGGTCGATCTCCATAGGCGAAGGACCTTGGTCGGCGCCTGGCGAAAGGCTGTTTGGCCCAAAACTTGCATTCAAAGGTTGCGCCCATTTGATGTTGGAACGGTCCCACCTGTATATCAACTCCCGGAGCTGAACATATGAACTGCTTTCCGAAAGAGAAATGTTGAGGAAACTTCTCAACTGTCCAGACGTGCAACGCAGCAACGTGGCCATGCGCAGATCCGAGTCTAACTCATTGCCTGAACATCTCCAAGCGAGAAACCTGCTGTGTCAATGAACACTTGTTGTCAAAGACGGGATATCCTGAAATGGCAGTTAAAATTGCCAAATGTCTGGATTTGTTCGTGGGCATGAGGTCCTGGGTCAACAGACGATATGCCTCAAAACCATTGGAATTGGGGGTCGATCGCAAAAGAGCTCGCCCTCGGTCATGCAAAAGTCCAACAAGCAAGGAATACAATTGCTGGCTCCGGCTCTATAGCAAGCGGTTCTTTCTCTTTCTTGGAGACCTCAAAGTCGAGCTCAAAGCCCTCATCCATGGCCACCAACCATTGCTCAAGGCTCCAAGCCCAATTTCTCCATTTCGCCAATTCCTCGTCTCTATCTCTGGCTTCAAACCTCTCGGGCCTTGTCAGAAGCTTTCCCATGTCTCTAGGGTCCAACTTGGCGCCGCTAGCCTGCTCCATACGCTGAGCTGCCTGATGCATCCCAGCCGACATCTCTGTTGACACTCTAATGAACTCCTGCATGTTGTTCACCATAGAATCCATGAAAGCCTGTTGCGGCGTGTGTTCCACCGCTCCACCATTGTGCTGCAACCCAGGATGGCCTTCCATCTGTAGTCAAACCACTGCTCGCAAATATATATAAATGCAAAGATAGTTCGCACTTGAAATCCGAAAACCAACGAAAGCAAATGTAAATCTGAAATCCGGCAAATGGCTCCGACTGGCTACTCTACGCCACCACGGCCCTGTTGACCGTATGTGGCTCCGCTACCATGCTAATTTTCTCACAAACCGAAACGCCTCCAGTACAAGCATTGACTCCAAGTCATGCCACGCAAGCTGTCTGTTGAGCAATGCATTCATGTGGGATATTTACCACATCAACAAGGTAAAAGCATCTCTGCACACCTAGGGCTAAATGCCTACTATGTAGGGCACTGTAGGTTACCTAAATGTTTTGCACCGCCAAGCGCCGCCTCCTAGCCGACGGTCTTCAATTCAACGGCGCGACCAAGAAGGCCCGCGGGGACCCCTTGGCGCAGTTGGCGCCCGGCGTGCTGTTCGCCGCCGCGCGGCCCTGGGGAAAAGCCTTCGCCTTCTTCGAAGGCTTGGAGACCGATGTGCCGTTGTGGCAAGTGCAGATCGCCGGCTCCGCCAAGGAGGCGTTCGGGCCCAAGGAGTTGCTGAAGTTCGCGCGCGAGGCCTTGCTCGAGCACCCGTCCGCTGCCTCGAGTCCTTGGAGACTGTCCTCCGCGTCAAGCTGAACATCGGCGCCCCGCCGCAGAGCGGCCCGCTCGACCCTGACGGCGTGGGCGTCGCGCCGTGGAACATGGCCATCTACTGCGCGGGGCCTGACCCGTCGCCCGCGCTGGACCTCGTGGCCTTTGTCTTGGACCACAAGAAGCGCGTGGGCGACCTGGCGGCTGTCCCGCGCCTGGGCCTCTTGACTGCCCCGCGCAGCCTAAGCTTCGGGAAAGAGTTCCCGCGCTGGGCAAGGATGGACTTTCCCTTGCCCAAGCCTTTCGCGGTCGGGCCGCCCAAGGGTCGCCGCCACGTTGTGCGCCAATTGGAGCTCGCTCGGGTCGAGGCGGCCAAGGGCGAGGGCGTGGATGGGGAAGAGCTGCTTGGAGAAGAAGAAGAAGAAGAAGGAAATTGGGAGAAACCGGGCCGGGCGCAGGCGGCCGCCGCTACTCGCTGATCTTCTACGGAGGCATCTTCGCCTACCGCAGCAGGTTCGACGAGGTGGATGTCCCTGGGGCGCACGTTGTGGGCCGAAACGGCGGCGGGCGGGACCGCGACTACGTTCGGGTGCTGGAAATCGAGGAACCCACTTGGCCAGCGGGTCGCCCGCGCAGGTCGCGTTGACGAAGTGAAGCGGGACCCCCAGCAGCACGTCCGCGAAGAGTCTGTGCTTGCCACCGAGACGGCGGAGACTGAGTGAGCGGTCGGAGCCGCGGAGTGCGGCGCGTGGGCTGCGCCACTTGAAGACGCAAAAAGACGGACGGGGCTGCGCGGAGTCAAATCGGCGTGGCCGCTTGTCGACAGTGCTCAGAAAAGTTTTCTTAGTTCGCCGACCCTTTTTCCCTTCGGGCTCCTTTCGTTGTCGGCGGAGAGCGGTTTGAAGGGCGGGGGCCGGGGCTTCGGCTCAAGCTCGGACTTGAGCATCGCGGCCGCCGCAGCCGCTTTGCCCAGCTATAGCTAGCTCTCGCGACCTGCTCCGCTCAAAGCCTCTTGGTTCGCGCGCCGCATGACAGAAGACAGCGCGCCTGCCGTGGGAGACCGCGTGCTCGTGATGCGGCAGCCGTGGCTCGACCTCGTGCTGAGCGGCGAGAAGACCATGGAACTGCGAGCGACCCGGCACGCGCTCGGCCGCGTGTGGCTATGGGAGGCAAGGTCTACGGCTGCGCGACCATCTCTGGCGCCCGCGTGCTCAGCGAGGCGGAGTTTCACGAGCTCGCAGACCAGCCCTTGTGGCCGCGCGACGCAGCCCTGCCATACGAGAGGCGCGTGTGCGGCTTGGGCCTGACTGCCCCGCGACGCCTGGCGGAGCCGATCCCGTACTGGCGCCCGCCCGGCGCCGTTGGAGTCAACATCTTCCGGAGGACGGCCGAGGACGCCCCGCCTGCGCAGCCCAAGGGCGGCGGCAAGAAGAAGCGCCAGAGGAGCGCGCTGCCGCGAGGTCAGTCGTGCCTTGGCTTGGCGGCGCCCACTCAACTTGACAGTCAAGCCGGAGAACGAGAGGCGGGGGAAACGGCGGCGGCCAGCGGCGAGAAGGTCGACAACGAGGGCGAGGCGAAGTGACGGGGCCGTCCAGCCGCTAGGTCTTCCGTTTCAGCGACGACGCAGTGTTTGAAGAAGCAGTGAAAGAAACGCCGCGGGTTTGGCCGCGCCGCCGTGTTGTTCGGGCTTAAGATTCTCCGAGACTTGCTTGCAGTGGCTCTGCGCGCAGGGCGGCCGCGGAAGGGGAAGCGACGCAGCGTTGTCGGACCGAGCCCTTTTATGAGACCCGGCGCGTTTCCCCTTGCGCCATGCCGCTGGTCCGCGCCCAAGTCTTCGACGTGTTGTTGCAGGAGTTCCTCGAGCTACTGGACGGGCGAGCCGCGCTTCGCCTCTTGGCGCTTTGCCGCGACGCCCGCAGGCCAGAGTGGACGGAGCGGGGCGCTGCCGCGCGGAGGCTCGCCGAAGACTTTGCGGCTTTCCTTCAAGGCGCTCGCGCGCGCTTGCCGGGCTTCGAGCTCTGCGACTTTCTCGAAGTGCGGGCCTGTTGGGACTTCGACGAGGAGCGGGCAAACCGCTTCCGCCCGCCCGCCTTTTTAGCCGGCGCCTTCTGCGGGGGCTCGCAGTTCCAGATGCGGCGCTGGATTGATCGCTATTGGCGCCTCCGGGGCCTCAATCCAATGGAAGTGCTGCAGCGGCTCAACTTCTTCGACTTGCTTGGGGGGCCAGAGTTTGACTTCTACCTCGGCTTGCTGCGCAAGGGCCAGGCTCGCTTCATCTACTCGCGCGGAGTCGACCGCCCTGGCGATTTCCGCGGCTGCTTGGCGGCGGGCGACGAAGACGAAGAGGAGCCGCCCTTCGACGCCGGGCTGGCCATTGTGTTCCGCTGCGACCGCTTCCTGACGGCTGTTTGCGCGCGGCAAGCTCGGCCGGCGCGGCCGCGGTGAGTCGGAGGGTCGCGCGCCGCGTTCGGAAAAAGGAGCGCTGCGAGGAAGAGAGACAAACGGCGAGAGACGGAGAAGAGCGGAGGGGGAGCGCGGCCAGCTCCGGGCTCAAGCCACTTCCAGCTTCGCCGCGCATGCTGCAAACGCTGGGCCAGCGGCCCCGATGGGCCGACGTGCGGGACTCCGAAAGCGACGAGGGAGAGGACGACGTGGCGGGCGCGCGGCAGACGCCCGGGGCTCTCTTTGAGGCCCAGGCTGACGACGGCGCTCTCTGGCGCGAAGTCGCCGCCTTTGCGGGGGCGACCATGGGGCCTTGCGCCTACTTGCGGCTTCCAACTTTGGCCTTGTGGCAGGCGCGCTGCGCCGAAAGTGCGAAGACTGGGACTTCCCGCTGCCTTCTTGGCGATGGCTGGTCTACGGCGAGCCGCTGCGCCTGCGCGCCGAGCTCCAAATTTTTGTGCTCTTCCTAGGCTTCGTTTCGGAGCGGCGCCTGTCCCGGCCTTGCCGGCGGGCGGTCCGGGCTTGGCAAGGGCGGCTGAAGGCTGCCGCCTTGGACTGCGACTTTCCGTTTCCTGTGTGGCGAGACGTGGTCTGCTTTGACCGCTTTCGACGCGGCCGCCCTTGCGTCCGGCTGAGTTTGGACCGGGCCCTGTTCGCAGCCCAGGGTTCTTGAGCGGACCGCCGACAGTCGCAAAACGCAAGACGTTGCGGGCGACAGCAGGAGAAAAGTCTGGCCCTCGCAGGAGAGCACGGGCGTCGCGGTTGCGCGCCTCGTCTTGCAAGGAAGGGAGTTGGCAAACGCCGCGCCAATTTGCGAGATTCTCAAGCCTTCGACCGCGCCGCCGCCCCCCCAAGCAACGCGCGGCCGCGTCGACTTTTGGGACTGGGCTGGCCGCGGCCGTTTCCACGGCTTTTCGGCTCAAGCTTCCGAGCTCTCGCGCACGCCTAGCTGTTTGCGATCAGGACTGTCCGCGCTCGCTTCTCGCGGCAGAGAGGTTTCCTCGCGGGGTCGCCCGTCGCGCGCGCAGGACTTTTGATTGGCAGAATGGCCCCGGCGGATCTTTCGTCTGCGGCCGCGGCGGACGAGGCTAGCCGAGAGTTTTTTCTCGTTTGAGTTTGGCTTTTTAGCCTCCCTGCGGCCGCTCGCAGGTTGCGGCGATCTGCGCCCTGGCGGTGGTCGACGTCCCCGGGGACGGCAACTGCCTCTTCCACGCCCTCGCGATGCAGGACGAAGAGGGCTGCTGCGGGGAGGAGCTGCGAGCAGAGTTGGCGGACTTTCTCGAGAGCGAGGCTTTCGGCCAGGACGGCTTTGAAGAAGTTTGGCTAGAGGAGGCCGAGCACCTATGCGGCGGAGTGCTGGGGCGGAGCCGTGGCCATCTCGGCTTATTCCTTGCTTCGACAGCGGCGGGTCTTTGCCCACGTCAAGGTCGCGGGCTCCGACGTCGTGGAGGTCCAGGACAGCTCCCACGCTCTCGTCGACGCCGACGCGCCGGTCGCCCACCTTCTCTACAACGGAGTAGACCACTACAGCGCCTTGATCGAGGCCGAGCTCTCCGACGCGATGGCCCCGGCCTGGCCGCAGCCGCCGCCGCCGCGCTACTTTGCCCCGGTGATCGCAAAAGCTGCGGGGGCCACGGCGGCCGCTGTCTACGCAGAGGACTGTGTTCGCTTGCGCGCCGAGGGCAAGGGGTCGACTTCGCGGCCAGGAGTTCCCAAGTCTGGCCGCCGCCGCGGCCGCCCGCAAGCCGGCCCGCTCAGGCCGCGGACTTGGCCGCGCGCCGCCGCGGCCCGCCCAGCCCGCTCCGGCAAAGTCCCGGCGCCGCCTCCGGGAAAAGACAACGCCGGCGCCGGAGCTGCAGGACGATGTGATGGAGGAAGTCAGCAAAGCCTTCGTGATCCCCGCGGCCCAGACTTCCCACCCCTTCCGCCCCCTAGAGGACGCGGTGACGGAGTTGGCGCTGAAGCTCCGGTTCCAGCCGACGCTCCCGCCGGGCGCCGAAGATGTTGAGCTGAAGGACGGAGCAGTCTGGCCCCGCGCGTTCTGCGCCTTTGACGGCTGGGAGGCGGCCAACGGCCTGGAAGCGGACCTCGCCAAGCACCTTGAGGCGGAGCACGCGGAAGACCTGGAGTCCGCCGCCGCTTGCTTTCCTGGGCCTCGCCCCCCGGACGCGCTGCTGAGCGTTTACAACGAGGCCGTCGCCCGGCGCTGCCGGGCCGGGGCGCCGCTGGCGGGGTGCTCCTTGGATCGCACCGCGCTGCGCTCCTTCGCCGAGGCGACTGCGGAGGACAGCGTGGAAGCTCTGGTTTGCTTCTGCTGCGCCTGCGTCTACACCCGCGCGGCGGAGCTTGAGGGGCAGAGCAAGATCCAATGGCGGCGGCCACTGAGTCGCAAGCCGACGGGGGAGCACCTCTTCTTCGGGAAGCCGGCGGCCGCAGTGGCGCGAGCTCTCAGCCTGGAGCGCTTTCTGGAGAAATACGACCAGCTCGACATCCCGGGCAAGAAGTTGTCTGACTCTGAGAGTTTCGGCTCCTGGAAGTTGCGGCTGCCTGGCCCTGGCGGCGCAGAGCTGCTGTGCTGCCCGGAGGACCACCGCTGCCGTGCGGTCCCAGGACACGTTGAGGAAGGCGTCCTCTGCGAGCACTGCGAGCTGCCAGTTTGCGGCGGCTGCCTCGACCACCTCGCCCGCGCGCAGTTGCCCCCGCTGAGCCTGGCAAACGACATGTGGACTGGCTACGCCCCGGAGCGGATCTACGCGGAGGAGGCGCTGATCTGCGCCTCGCCCTGCGTCACGACGCTGATTTGCATGTCTATGGAGGCACGGTTCCGCAGCGAGGCTTGCGCCCTAGACGAGACGGCTCATATGGCCCGGCATCGCTTTGGGGCTCGGGGCAACGCTTTATCTTTCCCGCTGCCCTGGGAAGTTGAAAGCTTTGCAGGGGGAAGGCGACCAGGCGGCGGCGCTGCCGCGCAGCGGCGCAGAACTCGGCCAACTGGTCCGCGTTCTGCTCAAGACCAACAAGAAGGGCAAGACGAGCGACGCGGAGATCAAGGGCCTCATCCACCAGGCGAAGGTGAGGCGGGAGGTGGTGGTCAACCTCATCTTGGACATGAAGCGCCTGGGCCACCCGTCGATGAAAAGGGAGTTCGCCTTAGAGCCGCCGCCCTCCCTGCCGACGGGGTTCCGCCCGAGGTGTTGAAAGTCGTGGTCCAGGCGCGGGCGAAAGAGGGGCGGGCCGCGGGCTGAACGGAAGAGGGCGCTCGAAAAAAAAAAACGCGCGCCCGCGACCAGGTGGACGCGGACGTCGACGACGCCGAGGACAAGCTGCAGCCGCAAAAGGCGGCGACGCCTTGCGACGGGCGGCAGGAAGACGTCGCCGCCGCCGGCGCGACCTTTGCCGCGCAGCGGGCGCGGGCCGTGGTCGCGGAAGGCTGCGCGGGCGAAGACGCCAACGAAGCTGCGGTGGCCGCGCTGCGGAAACTGCGGCGGGACCTAGAGGCGGAGGTCGAGAAGCGAGAACTGGACAAGTTGGAGGTCAGGGCCGGCAACCAGCTTCTGGACCAGTTCCAGCCCCTCTACTTCGCCGTCGCCTTTTGCTTCTGCTTTCCTCGCGGGACTGCCTGCCCGGACGTCCGAAACACCGTGGCCCAAGAAGACGACGACAGCCGCCGGAGCAGGCGTGAGAGGCGCCGGGCTCGCCGCTGAAGCCGGGAGTTTTGCTTCGGCGCCTTTTTTTTATATTTCCTGCCGCCCCTTGCGCCAGGAGCCAGAGCGGCGCGCCCGAGGTGAACATTCACGCCTGGGCCGCCGCCATGCAGCGGCGCGTGGAGGCGCAGTTCCGGCGCGACTGGACCTTCGGGTTTGCGGTCTGGAACTACTTGTTCCGGGCCGCGGTCAACTTGCAGAAGAACGCTTACATGTTCTCCGCACCCAGCGCCGACGGCGGCAGCTACCAGTCCTTGAACCCCGAGGACATCGTCGCGGGCGTCCGGGAGATCACATCCCGCTTGCGGGGAACCTACACGGACATCAACGGCGAGGAGAAGCCCGTCCAAGCGGACTTGACCAAGCTGCGCTTTGCAAACCTGAAGCCCGCCGCCCGCAAGATCCTGGCGAACGTCGAGGCCCGGGCCAAGAACATCCCCGGGACCCACGAGGTGCGCAAGACCATGCGCCTCCAGACCCACGCTCATCGCGTCTGCTTCGGGACCTCGATCTTCTTGCCTTCGGAGCGAGACACCGCCCTGATGCTGCGCCTGGCGCGTGTGCGAGAAGAGGATCCGGCGCTACTGCGGGACGGCGCGAAGAAGTTCCAGGCCCGCGGCCTGCCGGCGCTGGACGAAGAGTTCTGCCGGCTGAGCCCCGAGGCCTTGGCGGAGAACCTGCCGAACTACGAGGACAGGCGCGCGCTGCTGGCCAGGGACCCGCTGGCTTGCGCGGAGGGCTTCAGGACTTTCGGCGCAAAATGGGGGGGGGAGAAACCGCGCTGCTTCGACTTCCAGCCCCAGGACGCTGGTGCTCCTGACGCTGCGCCACCTCTTGGGGGTCAGGTTCTGCCCGCGCTGCCCGAACTGCGCGACTTCGGGGCAGCCTTGCAGCGACGCGTTCGGGAGCAACGCCGTGGCCGGCGGCGGCGTGCTGGGCAGAGTTGACGCGGTGTTTGGCTCCATCGAGTGTCAAAAGAGCGGAGCCCTCCACGCCCACATGCAAGTGTTCGTCCAGTGCCGCCATCAGCGCGGGTCGCTGGCCGGTCTCCTTGACTTGGGTAAGCCCGAGCTCCGAACCTTGCTGCAAAGGTATGCTTCCTACACTGCCCATGTCCGGCGCTCCGTCTACTGCGACCCGGAGGGCTGGGAGCGCGATCGGGCCGCCGCGGAGGAGTACAAGGACTGCGCCTTGATGTTGAGCCGGCCGGCCCGCCGGCTGCGGCCCGAGGAGTGGACGCGGCGATACTTGGCGGAGGACGTGGAGCAGCTGCAGCAGCGCAAGCAACATCATGTGCATCTCCCTGCCGGCCCAGGCGGCGAGCGGCGGCCCCTGGCCCACTGCCGCGACCCCAAGGATCCGACGAGGTGCAAGAGCGGGTTCCCCCGCGACAGCCAGTTGATTCTGGGCCGAACGGCTCTGGTCTGCCGCGGCTTGGCCGAGCAGCTGGACCTGCCCGTCAAGGGCAAGCGGAGCTCTTTGGGCCTGCAGTGGGGCCCGGTCAACGACCCGAACCTCAACGGCAACCACCCGGCGCTGCTGGCGGCGCTGCGCTGCAACGGCGACCTCCAGCTGCCTTACCGGTTCCCCGTGACGAAGGAGACCCACGACGACGCGCTCTGCCAGGAGGCCTGCGTCGGCGACGGCGACGTCAAGCTGCTCGTTCGGGAAGCGCAGCGGAATCAGGCCGGGCAAGAATTGCGGCCGCGGTTTTGCCCGGCTCTGTTTGCTCTCGCGTCGCGCAGGCCGCCCAAGCCGGCTACGGCTGCGACTACATGAACAAGCGGCTGCCCATCGCCGTGCAAGAGCTCAAGGACTGGCAGCGCGGCCATCGGGAGCTCGGCGAAGACTTGAAGGACAAGCCCGCCGGCTACGTCGGGGCGAGGGTGGCCAAGCGGCTGACCACGGACTGCTACGCCCGCGGCGTCTGCCGCGGCGCGGTGGAGTGCGCCAATTTGACCACGCGCCAGGCGGGCAACGACCCCACGGCGGCCGAGTCTCTCAAGACGGCGCCCGTCCAGCCCATCTCCTTGCAGTTCGGCCTCCAACTCCTGGAGGCGGCGGCCGCCGGCGAAGCTTGGCCGGCTGAGCCGCGACAGCTGCGGACAGACGTGCGGCCGGCGGCTCAGCGAGGGCGCGTGGTCTCCTGCCCGTTCTGGACCTTCTACGGGGCGCGGGGGCGAGCAGCCGAAGTCCGCGAGCTCTGCGCCTTCGAGTTCGCGCGCCACTTCCTCTTCAAGCTGGCCAAGCGGCCCTTTGTGCTGGAGCAGCTGAGCGAGCGGCGCGACGGAGGTTTTCACGCCTCGCTGACGCGGGCTGGGGCGGCGAAGCTTGGCGGAAACCCCAAGACCGTCTTGCTGCCCGGGGCGGACTACGAGATCCACGAGGAAGGCGGGGAAGACTGGCTGCCGCCAGGGCGTGGAGCGCTTGCCCAGCAGTTTAGACACGCTTGGATCCTTGCGCGCCGGGGCAGGCGAGGGGGCGGGGGGGGGAGGAGGAGGCGCGCGGCGCTTGCAGAGGGGGGAGAGGGCGCGGGCGGCCGCGGTTCCCTTGCGAGGCCCTACGTCCCGGTTGTCCAGGGCGCGCTTGGCGGTCGCTCGGAGGAGGACTACGCGAAGCGGGTGCTGCTGCTCTTCTGCCCTTGGACGAGCCACCCCGACGACGCCTCGGCCGCCGCGCCCTTCCTCGCCGACCTCTGCAAGTTCGGCAAGTCAGACTGGCGCCGCGCCCTCCGACGGCGGCTGATTCTCCAAGGCTTCCCGACCGAAGAGGTCAAGCAGTTCGCGCTGAACTTTTGCTTCGTCTACTGCCTGCCGCGGGAGCTCCGGCCGGAACAGCACTTGCAAGAGAACAGCGACAACGAGGTCCAGGACGAGGGCGTGCGCTTCGACAAGGCGGACTTGGAGGCGGCTCGGGCCACGCACGTCCGCGGCGCGGGCAAGCTGGGCTCCGAGAACTTTGACGAACAAGACAGTGAGCAGGAGGACGCGGCCGCGGCGACGCGGCTGTGCGTCATGACCAAGCAGATGTTCGACTTGTCCCGGGCCGCGTGGAGGAAGAGCGGGGCCGACGCCTCGCCCGGCCAAGGCGCGCCAGCGCAAAACGAGCAGCTCGACCACAACGCGCTCGCCTGGGCCGCCCGCGCCTCGCGGAGCAAGAGCAGACTTCCGTCCTTTCCGGGCGTCGGCCAAGCCGGGCGGGATCCCGAGGCGCAGCCGCTCGGCCCGCCCGTGACCGCAGACGCGCTGTTGGACTGGCTGGGCAGCGAGCGCGTCCGGAGCGGTCTGAACTCCAAGCAATGGGAGATGCTGCGGGTGGTGGTGGAAAGGGTTCTGGTCGAGCTGGAGCTGGTGCCGCCGGACCACAAGATCGCTCTGCGGCGAGCCGAGCCGCTGGCCTGGCTGCTGCACGGCCCGCCGGGCACTGGGAAGTCCCACGTCCTGAAGTTCCTGCGGGAGTTGTTCGAGGAGCAGCTTGGCTACGCGCAGGGGATCGACTTCGAGGCGCGCGGGCGAAATTGCGGTCGGCTCTCTTGCCCTGCTGGGG